AACATTTAGTTTGGACATAAACATTTAGTTTGTAAACTAAATATTTAATGTGGAACTAAATATTTAACTTGCCAACTAAATATTTAGCTTGTAAGTTAAGTATTTAGTTTATACACTAAATATTTAACTTATAAATTAAAGATTTAGTTTGGAACTATGACATTTATAAATGTATGAATAACATGGTGAAAATATGACTGAAAAATAAACACGTTTTTTTTTCTTATGAAAGGCTAATAAACAAACCAAAATATTCATGTTAATTTTTGACTGTGTAACTTTACAAACAGCACCCCATATTGACAGGTCGTTTCATGTGGTAATTAAAAACCCTTACTTGTGGAAGCCCATCACATTTCACGTTTTAAAATTTGAAACATGTTTCAGGCGTAATCCTTGAAGGAGCTACATGGATTTAACTGCGGAACCTTGAAATGGGGTTTTTCATGCAGCCAGACAAATAGTATGTTTCAGTCCTGGTGTGACTCGTGTTCAACATTCCCCTGATTCATATTCAGGCTTGTTTGTCAGCCAGTAAAATCACTGCAGCACTCCAGAGCCATTACAGCTGTGATGATAGGCCTGTTGCTAAGTAGACACCAATCCCATCTGTGACACGAAGGCAAAATAAAGTGATGGATTTGAAACGACTAAAGAATGATGTTTTGAAACGCACTTCTCACAAAGCCACAGAAACATGCAGGTTTTTTTTTTTTTACCACACCAATAGAGGTTTAAAGGTGTTCACAGAGACTGAATAGTTACCAGATTAATGTTTATGGTTTTTACAGCTAATTTGTGGTATCTTTACAGTTTGTGTCTTTAATTATGACCATTTATTGGGCAGAAATGCCTCTGAACAGTTTTATAGTTCTTAATTTGTCCACTCTCATTCATAGTTTCCAGAAGTGCTTTTTTTTTTTTTTTTTTACATTTTTGTTTCCAAATTTACAATTTTTTATCATTTTTGGCTCCCTCCATGCACCTGCCTTTCCTGTCTCCCTCCTTCCTGACAATACAGTGCAGTGGGCAGATTGATAGAGGAAGTCTGTAGGTTTGTTAGACAGCCTAATCAATCAGCATCTCACAAAACCACCAGCTAATTAACTTACTCCACAGCTGTCGAGGGAGAGAGAAAGAAACAGACAGCAGAGAGAGGGGAAGGGTGCTTAGAATCAGGACGATGAAAGAAGATAAATAGATGGAGACTGAACCAAAGTATTACAGATTTCTGCCACTCCCTGAAACAGAGACTGAGGAGAGACAGAGATGGATGAAGATTATAAAGACACAGAGGAAGGAGAAATGATATAAAGGGGAGAGGGTGACTGATAACATGAATGGCTCTTTAACGGAGACTGTTGGCCCGGGGCAGAAATAATTGGCAGAAGAAGGTGAGCTGGACCGTCATCGATCAACAGGCGGCACTCGCTGCCAAAGACAGCTCAAATCCGAAATCCTGAGAGCTCCGTGTGGGCACAGTCAGTGTGCAAGAGGAAAGTTTTGTCTGCTGGGTTAGATTCAATCCCCTATAAGTAGGATTCCTTTGTTGTTGTGATCCTCCATTGATCCCTGGAATGAGAAATTCCTCTTTGCCTCTCCACCCTCCAGACAGGAGGTCAAAGCACAGAGTTAAGAGGAGCTGGAAGATATACAAAGGGTAGCTCAGAGACTCTTGGGACGTGGAATGCTGCCATTACAACTTGAATCCTAGCTTAAACATTCAATTACAGCTAAAGCTGTTGTCAGGGTGCCACCACATTGCAGCCTGTTGTCTGCTCTGTGTATTAATTCACAATTTTCTTTGCTTCAGAAACATGACGGCCAGTTCACAGTCATCCAGCTGGTTGGCATGTTGCGTGGCATCGCCTCAGGTATGAAGTACCTGTCAGACATGAGCTATGTTCATAGAGACCTGGCCGCTCGCAACATCCTGGTCAACGGTAACCTCGTGTGTAAGGTGTCAGACTTTGGCCTGAGTCGAGTTCTGGAGGACGACCCCGAGGCCGCGTACACAACAAGGGTAAGACACACTAACACAGTTTGACACAGTCACAAACAAATTTATCAAGTGAAACTAGCATTTTAGAATGCTAAAGTTTCAAAGAACGATCTTGAGTGGTATGTTAGTGCTCAAAGTATGTATTGGGGATGACTATCAGCTACTAACACAATAAATTTTGGTTAGTGTCTGTAAAAATGTCAGAGCGATAGCTATTTACGTGTTTTCATGCCTTGATGAACCATGGCAATCAATTGTGTTGACTCTTAATGGTTGATCACTTGCAAATGTACATCCAATAATGACTTTCTAAAAGTTCCATTAAAATTTGTCCAGTAGTTCATTATATACTGGTATTTTCTAATAGACAGACAGACAGGATCAACTACTGCAGTTAATACCAACATAATTTTAAGCAAAATTCTGATGCAATCTATTAGCGCTCAGAACATGTGATGGGAATCATTTTCAGCTACTACCACACCAAAATTTTAGCTCAATATCTGAAAACTTGACTAAGTAATATTCATTTCACTGTTTGCAATGTCATTTAGTGTTGGCAACCATCTTGAATTAATCTGACAATAAAATGAATGTGCTTAGTTACTCTCTGAGTTTCATTAAAATCGATCCAGTTGTTCATCAAATATTTTGCTAACAAACAAACAGGCTAAAGCACATAAACCCTAGACAGCTGTTTTATTGTCTTTCCATCCATCGATCCATCCATTATCTTCTGCTTATTTGGGAGTCGGGTCATGGGTCAGCAGCTTAATCAGGGAGGCCCAGACATCTCACAGCCACCTCTTCCAGCTCTTCTGGGAGGTCAACAAGGCATCCCAGGCCAACTGAGACAGTCTCTCCATCGTGTCCTAGGTCTTTTCCAGGGTCTCTACCAAATCGGACATGCTTGTAAAACCTTTCCAACGATGCATCCAGGGGACATCCTTACCAGTTGCCCAAACCACCTCAACAGGCTCCTTTTTGAAGGGGAGGGGCAACGGTTCTACTCAGTCTCTCCTGGATAACTGAACTTCTCACCCTGTCTCTAAGGGAGAGTCTAGCCAACCAGCAGAGAAAACTCTTTTTGACTGCTCGTATTTGCAACTTTGTTCCTTCAGCCACTACACAAAATATGTGACCATAGGTGAGGGAAGAACTGTAGACTGTCTGGTAAACAAAGAGTTTCACCTTGCGACTCAACTTTCTCTTCACTACAACAAACTGACACAGAGTCCGCAATAGCCACACCGATCCATCTGTCGATCTTGCGTTCCATTCTTCCCTCACTCGTGAACAAAACCACAAGATACTTGAACTCATCCACTTGAGACAGAACCTCACCCTTGACCCAAAGAGAGCAATCCACCATTTTTCCAACTGAGGACCATGGCCTCAGATTTGAAGGTGCTGATTCTCATCCCAGCCACTTCACGCTCGGCTGCGAACCGTTCCAGTGAGAGCTGAAGATCACGGCACGATGACGCCAACAGGACCACATCATCTGCAGTCAAGAGGCTACCAAACAGGACTCCTTCCACCCCCTGGCTGCAATTCAAAAAAGGTAGTCAAGAAAGTCAATTTTATTTTCCAAGTTACACATATAGACTGGTTGAGCAAACTCTAATGCACACTTGAGGACCTTAGTGAGGGTAAAGAGCTGGTCCAGTGTTCCATGGCCAGGACAGAACCTGCATTGTCCTTTATCGTGTGTTTGAAAAAAAATGAAATGAAAGATCTAAAATGCATAAAAACACATCAGCTGTTTTAAACACTGTATTTTTCAAAAGTGGATAAAGGCTCTACTGCCCGTTTCAACAATAAGAACAAAGCTGTTCACCTAATGAAGACAACGACAAAACAAGTCTCAACATTTTTTTGCTTTAATGCATTTGAATCAGTCACTGGTGACTGCAGCACCATCTCGCAGCGCTCAGCGAGACTGAAGAAAACTCAAACATCAATGAGTCAAACCACTGCGGAGTAACTCATCAAAGATGTCCACAAGGAGATGGAACTATTCATATTCATGGGAAAAGTTGTGGATGTTATTCTTAATATGGCATTAGCATTGCCCTAGGAGGAGGGGATCAGCCGCTGACTGCGCTTTAGCAATCACATACAAACTCCCACTGATGTCAACAGACCTAGATGTGGAGCTGCAGGCGCTGATGAAGGGAGCGGGGAGGGGGGCATAGCAGCAGCTAAGTCTGAGGCGGAGATGGAGAAGACGCAGAAAGATCCACGGAGGAAAAACAGAGAGATTGGGGGGGGGGGGGGGGGAGAGACTGATCCAAGGAGAGCAGTTAAGAAGAAGATGGGGAAAAAGATGATATGGTGGGGGCGGAGGGGAAGATGGTGGAAACAATAGTACAGTGCTGAGGAACTTGGCAGCTTTGTCTTTCAGATGACTTTCACCGAGCAGACACGGGGAATGCTAGGTGGTGCAGAGGCAGCAGCCGCATATTAAGAAGCTGAAGCGAGCCTATAGAGGTGTGATGTCTGTGTGTGTTAGAGTGAGAGAGAGAAGCCAGGAGTGCCCGTCTATACATACAGCAGGTTGTATGGAAGCCGTTTGATCTGTTGCGTCAACAACAAAGACTCGGGCAGCTTGGGATTTTAAAAGAAAACTGATGGTCCAGACTGCAGTCCTGCCTCACATATTCTGAACTGTGTCTCAGAATAAAACCCATGTGTTTATGTTTTACTGTAATTGAATTTAAACGTTGTGTGATTTTCTACCCATCTCTTCCATGTTTCTTTCTTCCCATGTACTGACCCAATGATTGCATATTTTCACAAAAATGTATATTTTATTAACAGAAAAAAGTGTCAGATTGTATTTGATGGCATTAAAAATGCAGTATTATACTTAGTGTTGTGGCGATTCAAATGACCTTTGAATCTATACCCGGTGATTTCAGCTGACTGTAGTGTTCTGTGCACACATGCACAGACAGAAGCATACACTTAATATGCATTGACAAGAGAAATTACACAAATGTACTTAAGCAGTATAAATAGATTTCATGTATTTCAGATAGGGGAAAGACGTTTGGAACATAAAGAAACCAAACAGACACCACCATTATTATACAGTATGTCAGTTTGTACTTACTGCATTTGTTCTGAGACTGTTTAGTGTCATTTAATTTAAAGACTGTCAGCACAATCTTACCAACTGTATAATCAGAATATAAACATACCACCTGTAGAACTAAGTTTGGGCTTACTTGGAAACCATCATGGGGGACAATTGCAAAAATTCCTAGATTGCTTTGATTTCAGTTAAAACAGCAGCAGACACAGATTGCTTCAGTCAAACTATTGGTAATTAACATCAAGCATAAATCAGTGTAGAGGGATTTGTATGTCTTTATTGATAAGTATATTTTTTTAGATAAATATGTGCTTCTACTCTCTACTTCATAATATGTTTTCAATGTCTGAAAATGTATTCAAGCAAAGAAAAATTATTGCTCATAATTTGTCTTAAAATGCAGCTTGGTCTTGTGGTAGTCCCTGTAGTGCATATGTGTCAAACTCAAGGCCCGGGGGCCAAATGTGGCCCTCATTGACATCTTTTCTGGCCCTCAAGATGATATGTGAAACGTAAAATAATTCTATGTCCTGAATTTTTTTCGGTAATCTTTGATTATGATGTTGAAAGCACAACAGAGAACATCAAATGAGACCAATCAAACTCTTATTGAGGAACTTGTGACCATGAAAAGATGCTGGGTATCTGATTTAAGTTAATGTAGATTCTGAAACTGGCCCTTAGTTTGAAAATGGTTTTAATTTTGGCCCCCTTTTGTAGGTGGGTTTGACACCCCTGCTGTAGTGTGTATAGTGTGGTGTGTAAAGTAAATGCGTTAATAAAAGGCAATGTGTGTGTGCGTACTTGCACGTGGAGGTGTGTGTGTCTCTATGTGTGAATAGGTGACTAATGAGGAATTTAGTAAACTCCTTTTAGAACCTGGAGTTGTTAAAAGGTGCTAAATAAATGGCTTAATAAATGGCTGAAATGGCTTTAAATGACATGACTATAAAAATGTTAATGTAATTTTAGAATTTGTAAGTAAAAGTGAGGCCGTCTTGGGAACTGTTTACAGGGAGGAAAGATCCCCATCAGATGGACGGCTCCAGAGGCCATAGCCTACAGGAAGTTCACCTCAGCCAGTGATGTGTGGAGTTATGGTATCGTCATGTGGGAGGTGATTTCATATGGAGAGCGACCTTACTGGGAGATGTCCAACCAGGATGTAAGTCCCAAACATTCACATGCCGGTTTCAGTGCCATTCACCACCGTGCATTATTCTACCTTCTGCCAGAACTGAGAACGTTGTTTTATGAAACTTCCAACACTGTTCTTACTTTAAAAATATGCCTAAAGTGATGATAAATCAATAGATTTAATTGTTCTTCCCTTGCAGGTGATCAAAGCAATAGATGAGGGCTACCGTCTTCCTGCTCCAATGGACTGTCCTGTGGTGTTACACCAGCTCATGTTGGATTGCTGGGAGAAGAGCCGCAGTGACCGGCCCAAGTTTGGACAGATTGTCACAATCCTGGACAAACTCATCAGAAACCCAGCCAGTCTCAGAGAGCTGGCCAACAGTTCAGTGTGGTCAGTGGGAGAAATGTTCTCCGTCAAACTGTGAATTTCACTAATGCAGTCATCAGATAGTTGGATCAGAATATAAAACAGTAAAAACACTAAAAACTGTACTTTTCTGACAATATAATTTGTAAGTAATACTGGTTAGTGATACTTATTTTTTTAAAGGGTCCTAAATAAATAAATAGTTTTCAAAGTAAAAATAAAATAATTAAATGCATAAATGCATTCAAGGTTGGGGCTGGTATGTTCTCAATAGCCTTGTTCAATTTAGACTTTCTGAATCTCCAGTTGTTTTTCATGCATCCTGAAGAATGTCATTATTTTTACATTTACATTTTGGACCTCAGGCTCTTAGCTGATGCTCTGAATCAGTGCAGCATAGACATTTGAATCACTTACACAGACAAACACTTGAAACAGAATGAAAACCAAGGACCAGCATAAATGCGGCAGAAGCTCAAAAGTAGCACTGGTAAATCCCCAGAGAGTAAACACAATTAACCACATGACCAGAAAGAAGCCTTACACAAAGCTCCCATTACAAAGTCTGTAAGATTGTACACATTAATGTGTATACTTCACCATGTAAGTGCATACTGTTTGTAAAAATATGTCATTTTCTAGGTTTTATGTAAATGAACAAACATTTAAAATTAAAAGATGAAAGCAAACTAGTCAAAAGATTCTACAAGTAAAATATTTACAATCGATAGAGCCATGCATCCTTCTTTTTGACTAATGTTTAGTTAGAAATGTGTTTTTTACATTTTCATTTGGTTTTGAATGTAAGACTTCCCTGTTACAGAATCAAAGCAATTTTTTTCAAATGAATTTTTTTTATGTTAAACTTATGTACCAAGGAGAAATAAGTGCCAACACAGCAGTAAGAAAAAGTAATTTACCCACACATTAGGCCAAAACTTTGAGTTGTAAGTATGCTTTACATCTCAGCAGGGAGGACCCACCCACTCCAGAGTTCAGTGTGAACACGGTGGACGACTGGTTGGAAACCATCAAGATGGGCCAGTACAAGGAGAACTTCTCCAGTGCTGGATATGTCAGCTTGGACTCTATCCTCTACATAAGTGTCAGGTAAAGACCGATCTTTTAACATCAACAATCTACAGGTAGACTGATTGGTCCGATGACTATTGTCAATTTCCAACATTTTTTTCAAATAATCAGCTCTGACTACACTTGAGCATCATATTCTGATTAAAAGCCTATAGATTGCCTTTTTTCAGAGGACTTGTCTTGATGTGCTGCACATCCAATGATGGGATTTACTTTTACAGCAGGGGTGCTTTTTTCAGAACATCAGCAGACAATAAAAAGACTGGGCTGACAACATTTTTCTATGTGAATTAAAGTTGCACCAAATACCCCATTTTCAAACCGAGTTCAAATACTTGTGTTTGAGTACTTTCCAATACAGTGAGCCAATATGGGTACTAATAATTTAATTTTATGTAACATAAACTTTGAAAGAGTATTTGAAAATCAAAGGAGCTTACTTTTCATGTTAACCAGGACAGCCAAAGTCTTTTAAAAAAGTGTTGATTAGTGAGATGTGAAATTGTCCAGAATGCTCTTGCTCAGGTCCATACATTCCCAGGGTCTTTTTCTGCTCCATGAGAGACTACTGTATAGTCACTTCCTACTACTGTTGGCAAACTCTTTGAACTTGGGTTTTTAGCTGTTTTATCAAACTGCTTTCTTGAAAGTGTTAGATTTTATTCCTCGTCAGTCTGGATGATTTTTTCTTTGATCGGTCACTTTGAAATACACACAGTCACAGCATCATCTTCTTCTGTTGGTATTTATTGGTGATTCTCAAACAACTTTATGGCGTATTATGGCAAGTGTGGATCAGGAGAGCCACAACCTCCACATGTCATTGCTTCTCCTCTACCATTTGATTAAGATGTGAACGTCACACTAAATTGAAGTGGTATTGGGTACTGTGTTATCAGCACACAAATATGAGTCTGAGTACACCCACATGGTATAATAAATAGCTATGTGTTGTCATCATTGTATGTCCCCATACAATGACGAAATTGGTTCTCTGCATTTAACCCCTCACATGTGAGATCCACCCGGGTGGAGCAGTGGGCGGCTATATAAGTGCATGGGGATCAGTTAGGGATTGGGTGTCTTGCTCAAAGACATCATGACATGTGGGCATGGCGAGGAAGTGAACTGCGACTTTTTGATCCCAGGTCAACTGCTCTACCTCTACACCATCTCAGCCCTTATAAGAGTTACAGTGCCAGGTCGTCTCCTATCCAAATACTAACCAGGTCCGACACTGTTTAGCTTCCGAGATCAAACAAGATCGGGTATGTTCAGGGTGTTATGGCCATAAATGTAGTATCAGACTGATACTAGTATCGGTATTGGTGCATCCCTGATGTGAACTGTCTATAAAACTGTCTTTGAATTGTCATCGAAATGTTTTTACTAAAATCAGCATTGTGAATTTGTATTTTTCATTTTTTTTTGATCTAGTGAATTGACAAAGATGGGAGTGACTCTGGCTGGCCACCAGAAGAAGATTTTATCCAGTGTGCAGAGCCTGCAAGCCCAGGGGACGCATGTCCATGTATAACAGTTTCCACAAAGACACACGGTGAGACAGACTTGAACTGGATGCTCCTGTGAAGAGCCTCCCCACTAAAATGGAGTTGGAATGGATACTTTGTGCTTGGGTCTCCATTGATTTTGAGACACACTAAAATGGAGACAACATTGACGTTTGACTCCTTCACCTTCCCATGCCCCCCCACCCTTCTGCATCGTCGATGGGCACTTCTGGCTTTAGCACTCAGAGTCCCAGCAACACCGTCACTGTAATGGAGCAGCAGAGTGACACGCTACCAACAAGACCGCACATAGAGCATCCCAGGCCATTTCACAACATGTCAACTTAACAAAAAGGAAGAAAAAAAAAACTTTTGACATAAGAAATAGATTAAAAATAGAATATAATGTTCATCACTGTTTGTGAGGTGTACAGTCGGGTTTTACCATTGTTTTGTTTGTTTTGTGTTTTCACAATGAAGGATTTAAAAAGGGTCATAAGATGTGTATATGTGTAGATAAATGTTTATACGGGCAGTGTTTCCCACAACCATAGAGATGGACCTAACGTTTGTATTGGTGGTGAAGATTATATTGCGCAACATTAGCAGGAATTATTACCCTGTAGATATGGCTTCTTTTATTGCGGTCTGCTCCAAGAAAGCCAATGAATGAGCCAAGATTGTGAACGACCTGAATGTGTGAGGAGAGGGAGAAATAAGAAACTGGACCTGTAGCGATGGAGATGCATGTAGATTTTGCTAGCTCGTGTTGGGTGTGTGTTTTGGGCCAGGACAAGGGCTTCCTTAACGACTGCTCTCAGATACACTTCCAAAGCAATTCAACCGGGTGTTTATTCGAGTATTTTCTTTGGTTTACAAAGATTGTAACAAAAGGACAGAAACAAAAAATTTTATTCTTCCGTTAGTTTGTTTAAACAAAGTGGTACTGTTAACATTTTACACCACAATGTTGTAAGTATTATCTTAGCTCAGATTAGCCTTCCAGTGTTTCAGGTGTTACGGAAGTTTTAGTATTCATGTAGATCAAAGATGAATCAAAAGTTATAAGCACTTGCGCTGTTGAAGATGTACCTTGTTTTTTCAGGGTTGTGCCATGTACAGTGAACTTTGAAAAGTTCTTCTAGGTAATATGCCATCAATCTAACTGCACTTTTCTTTTATCAGTCTTCATGGTTGGTTGGTTACACAAGGGGAGTCCTTATAAATGTGTTTTCTACACTGTCCGCATGATAAGAACGCAAAACTGGAACGGCTCCTTTTCAACAAAATGAAATTTCTGCAGAGGTGATTTTCAGATGCGCAAAATGGTATATTTTACTTTTAAAAAATGAATATGGCTGTGGAATACTGTTGGATTTTCTGGTTTTCATTTTATGCTTGTATCTCACTGGGCTGCGACTTTAAAGTGTCTCAAATCGTTGACGGGGGAACTATCCTCTGAAAGAGAACATCCGAGGCAAATGTCCAGATCTAAATAAAATAAAATGCGCCAACCAACAAAAATAGCTATTGATAAACTGGTTCAAATTTGTCTATCTTCATTATGAAAGGGTATTAAATCATAAATGTGTGATTGGTGGGTACAAAGTAGGCCAAAGTGGGTACAATGTGGACTTAAGTGGGCACCAAAAAAGTATATAGCCAAGAATACATATTTGCAAGCCGTGCACATGACAATAGGTCATTTTTAATGGCTGTGCAAACCGTGACTGCAAGTCTTGCTGGTCACAAACACTCAGATTTCTGCAAAACTGCATCCGAAAATTAATCTTTTTTTATCGCAGTTTGCTCAAATTTTGAATTGTCAACTACACTCCAATAGTCACAACCCAAGTACTAAATTTAGCAACCTATTTTTTGTTTCATGTTTTTATTTTTCATTTCAAAACCACTACTCATACAATATATTTTTAGAAGAATTTTTTACAACAATAAGCAACTTTTTTTTAATTCAAAAGATAACTGCTGCTGATCACAATAATTACACAATCAGACAGGAACTCTATTTGTGAAAACTGTATCAAGGACACTAAATCTGCTTTTAATGTGCTCCAAACCACACAGGACCAACAGTGGCATCAAGTACAGTAAATATCATTGTATTATAGTGTAAAATTTGTACAGTGTTGATTTACAATGTCAGAATGTTTGTATTGATAACTATGATGATGACTATGATGTGCATTTATTGTGATAAAGAGATTTCTGAAGTTCAGGAAGGTTCATACAGGTGAAAGGTGAATGAAGGCGATTCATTAGTCTGAACAAAAGAATGTAGCACGGCGCAAAGCTTCAGCTTGGATAGAAAGGAGACAGTGACTGCAGTTTCTACGATAGCGTTAGAATGAGTAGAATGGACTTATTGATTAGCATGCTTTATTCACATGTTCATCTTTGACCGTTATTACTTGCAGTTTCTACCCCATTTCTACATACAACACAGGTTTAAAAATGCTTATTTGGAAAAAGAAACGTAGAAGAGAGAAGAGTGAAATATCTGATTTAGTTTCTATTTGATATCACAAATTTAGCATTTAGTTAAGCTTTTATCTCAGCTAGAGGATCATCACAAAGGACCTGACATTGCAGTTCATGATGAAGTATTTAAAGAGATGCAGATGCAGTGTTAATTACAAAAAAAGGAAATGTATAAGCACTGAATTTCATACAAAGTGTTTCTGTGCATTCGACTGTTAGCTGCAGCAGTTAGCATGCATGCTAGCTTTGTGACAGTGTCTCAGCTCGAGAAGGATAAATATAATTGACAATGAAATCAAAGTTTAAGATTACAGATTTTAATCAAAACCAGTACCTACATACAGTAAGATGTTTTTATTTATTCCCATTTACTTTATTAAGGACACTTTTTAAGATTTGTAAACAAATTTGTCCCAATTCCAAATTGCGTTTTTGGAACTAAAACCTGAAAATAGAGAAAATAATTATTCAAGTGAAATTTGTGTCCAGTTATTTAAGCTAATACTATTTTTTTAATCTAACAGTCTTTTCATTTTAACAGCTAAAAAAGTGTACTTAAGTCTATCTCTATATGAATGGCTAATGATGCTAAATTGACACGTGTCACTGCACACAAGTAACATATGTGTCATAGAGTGGATCTTTTATAGACATGACTACAATAATTGAGAGGCGTGTCTGAAACAGACAAGACAGAACCATGATGGGCAGCTGGACAAACATTTTAATGAAGAGAGAATTTACTTGTGTTTTTTCTGCTTGATTGTTTTAGAATTTGTAACGTAACGGCAATGACAATTTGCTTTACTACAAAACCTAAAAACAAAAAAGTTAAACTATTTGCCTAAACAGTTTCACCACTACTTCACATTTTAAACCACAGATAAAAGTACAAAAATACAAGCTTGGAGTGACAAACTGTTCATTCTACTCTTGCTAACCCTATAATTTTGCTCAGGCGGATCATCTTGACCCGCTGGCCTTTTAGATGCCTTATTTATCGAGTTATTGTTCTTTCTGTTGTCAAATAAGAGATAGTAGAGAAAGGTGTATATATACAGGTAATATTTATTTCCATAATTAAGGTGACCTCACATCAGCACCCTTTTCCAAACATCCCAGAGGCCCTCCACAGCACCACCACTTTGATTCATTTAAACAAAGAATAGACAGTTTGCTCTAATGTATTGTTACACAACTTCAAGCGGATGACCTCCAAAGGTTGATGGGAAAATGACCATTATTGTTGTCTTATTTACATTTCACTAATGTAAAGGGCAAACATTTTTGTTGTTGTTGTTGCATAATTGTTTTGAAGTGGAAAACTGAAGCTTCATCGTTGCATTCTGCCTGAATTATAATAGTCAATAATTACAATGCTCTCTTTCTTCAGGCCTAATCAACACTCCAGTTTTTAAAAAGTTATGTCATGTCCCCACTTTTTGTTCAGTTTTTAATATTTAATCCCAAAGCCGTCGCTGCACACATTTGCGAAGTTAAATTATCTCAAATGCCACATTTGTTTTTAATTCACTGCAGGTTTGTATTTTTGATGTTCATTGGATTCTCATTTGATGTTTTCAGCTCACTCCTATTCTTTATTCTGCTTTATGTTTTTCTTTTCCTTGGCCACCAGTAAGAAATATTCGTTCCCACGCCAACTTCCTCTGCGTTGCTTGTTGTAAAGGGTGTAGGCATTCTGATGTCTTTCATGTTGCTGTAATAAATATGCTATGATTTCTAATTTCTCACGTAAAGCCTTCAGTGTCATTCTTTCACACATTTTTGCATTTCTGTCCTCACCCCCCTCTTTGTGAACCTCTTAGCCTTCAACACAGCAGAAAACAGACCCCAGTAAATAAATAATAAAATGGAAAAAAATTAAATTTGTTTTTCCTTCATTGCGCAAGAGTGTTGGCAAAAGCTAGTTTTTTAGAGTGCTTTATTAAATTATTTAAAACTATGGAAAAAATGTATATAAACTACAAACTGGTCAATTTTATAGTGACATTCAGTTAAACGCTTATCAATTGTATGTACTCTATCGGTAGTGATGTCAGTTAAAGAGCAAGAAGTACGGAGAAAGAGGCAAAAGTCTTTGTCCAGGCTACACTAATGGCTAAACAAATGAGGGTCCATTTTTATTGTTTTACAGACTCATAAACTCTTAAAATGGCATGTGAAATAATGCTACATTAAATAATAAAAAAATAAATGTCTACATTTGAGCTTGACACTGAATGGTAAATTTGAGCTCCTTCTATCTGGGAAGAGATTCAGGCAGCTCAAATCAAGAACAAATAGATGGAAAAACTCAAATTTTAAATGTAACCGGGCTTTATTTTGTCATTCAGCCTGTTTTATTGATATTTGTATATGGATTTTTTGTTGTTTACCAATTTTGTGGTGTGTTTTTTTTTTTTAGCCACTTTGCTTCAAGGAAAATTTCCCTAAGGGGACAATAAAAATGATGATGATGATGACTGTTTGTTAAACTTGCGACTGTTTTCTCAGCTGAACAATGTGTGAGGCAGTCTTCCACATCAATCTGTCGTTTTTGAGAAAAGAGTCACTTTGAAACCCTCAAAAATATTTTTGAAAGCTCCTCGTTCAGCTTGTCTAGTCTAGCCTGGAAGAAGAGCTTTTGTCTCTTTCTTCATATTTCTTGCTCTATAACATATTCTACTGCTGATAAAGTACTAACTATTGATAAATGTTTCAAACAATTACTCTAAGACTGAGAGACCATATTTGAGACAGGGTTGTGTAAAGGCACAGATCAAATCACAACAGCCTCCATGAACTTCAAATTAAAGCCATATGAAACCACCAACATACTTCCAAGAGCTGCGGAGCCATACTAAGTAATCTGGTAGAGTGTTGGTCTGTCAAGAAACCAACAAGCCAGTGATCACTGAGAATACAAATCTCTGTCAAGATGGGAGAACCAGAGAAACAGCCAACCAGGGCTCATACAGGCCCTGTTTTTTTTTTTTTTTTTTTTTGAATGTCCAGAGGACCAGATTGAACTTTTTTGGATTTTTCTACCTGGATTATTGAGCATGCATCACGATAGCCAACCAGGGGTTTATCTCAACCAGGTTTTTATGTCAGAGTATACAAACATATAAAGATTCTTTATTGTCATTCACATCACATGTGGTACATTCAGTGGAACGAAACTATGTTCATATGTATGTACTACATATGATCTCATAAATCTCCTATCCCTATGTACAGCTATGTATGTTATTTGAAGAGACATAGCCTGCTGAAAGTT